TGGTCATTCCGTGCTGGGGTTGTCCTGAGCACAGACCTTCCCAAGGGACCAGTTCTGGCTGGGAGAAGCACCGCCAGCAGCAAAGGCAACATCGACGGAACTTGATCGCTCCGACACACGAAACCAGATGTCAGCGCAGAGACGCGCCAGAGGTCGGGGGGGTGAACAGCAGCAGTGCTTAGAGCACCACCCCGTGCCCGATTCCCCCAGCGAACATGTGGTTCTACTCCAGGGAGAACAGGCAGGGGACTCCTCGGGCCGCGGCCGCCAAAGGCCGGCGCTGTCAACAAGGGCCGGACCGTGAGGGCCGTGAGGGGAGAGGTTACCATGGCGACCCGGCCCGCCCTCCGCGCGCCTCTCGCGAGACCCTCCGGCCCGGCCCCGCGCCCGCCCCCGCAGGGCTGGCAGTCCCCGCCTCTCACTGGCGGACGCCTTTCCCATTGGCTGAGCCGCGCGGGGATGGCGGGGCAAGCGCCTTTCCTATTGGCTGGGCCGCGCGGGGATGGCGGGGCAAGCGCCTTTTCCATTGGCTGGACGCCGAGGGGCGCGGCGCGGCCGCGGGCGCTGATTGGCGGTCGGGCGCGCGCGGCGGCCGCGCGCGGTGTCGTCATGGCGGCGCCCGCCCGGCGGAGCGTGGTGTTCGTGACCGGCAACGCCAAGAAGCTGGAGGAGGTGCGGGCGGCGGGGCCGGGGCTGCGGGCGGGATCGCCCCCCTCTCCCTCCCTGATCCTTCCCTTCTCCCTCTGCAGGTCACGCAGATCCTCGGGGACTCCTCTCCCTACACGCTGGTGGCGAAGAAGATTGACCGTGAGTTGCCGGCGGGGCCGGGCGGGACGCGGCGGTTCGTCCCGTCCCGGCCGTCTCCTCATCACCAACCCCTGTGTCCGCAGTGCCCGAGTACCAGGGGGAGCCAGACGAGATCTCCGTGCAGAAGTGCCGTGAAGCCGCCCGGCAGGTCGCTCTTTGCTCTCTCCCTTTTCCTGGAGGCACCCCCGGGGAGGGATATTGGGGCATCCAAACCGGCCACGAGGGAAGCCAGGGGTACATCCAGCCTCGCCTGGCCTGGCCTGGCCTGGCCTCACCGCACTCCCATCGCCCCGGTTTGTGCCGGGTGATGGTGAATTCTCACCGATGACACAGTTTTGGCAGCCCCGCTGCGGCTCCTCTGGTCTCCTGTGTCTCTGGAGCAGCAGGAGGACATGGCAGCTCCTTCAGTCCAGCCCCTGTGGCTCCAGGACACAGCATTTGCTGTCAGCCTGAGCTTCCAGAGCTGCTTCTGGGATGGGTGTCTTAAAAGAATCAAGTGAGAGCTCAAGAGAAATGCAGGCTTGCCTCCAGCACATGGACCTTCCCTTTCCTTGTCCTGCCATTCCCATCCCTCAGGAGGGTAGGGGGTGTTCAGCTCAGCCTGTTTTTCTCCATGAGAAGCCTTCCCTACTGTTCCTCAGCCACTCTGGCCTGCCTGGGGAGAGCTGGGGTCAGGTCGTGTCTGTCTGGTGTGTGTTGGAACCTTTGAGGTCAGGTGGAAATGGGAGGATGGGACAGAGCCAGGTTTGGGAGCAGTGACTTTTCTCTAGGGCTGATGTTTCCTTCCCTTGGGCTTTTGCTGTAGGTTCAGGGACCTGTTATAGTAGAGGACACCTGCTTGTGCTTCAACGCCCTGGGGGGCCTGCCAGGACCCTACATGTGAGTAGGAGGGAAGTGGCTTCCCCTTTTGTGTGCCAGAGTTGGGAGCAGAGGCTGGCAGGGTGGGCTCAGTGGAGGATTCTCCGTGTGCCAGGAGCAGTAGGGGCAGGGAGGTGATTCCTAATCCGTGTCCTGGTCTTCATCCTGGACCCCAGGGGCTGGACTGAGCTCCTTGAGCCCTGCTGGAAGTCACAGAGTGGGATGAGACACACAGACCTGGATTGTTGGCTCTGGCTCCCAACATATGGTGCCTACATGGCACTGAGCTTGGGAACCTGTCCACATAGCGGGGTCTGTGTCATGAAGGCATCAAGCCTTTCAGCAGGATTCTGGGATGAGTGGCTGTGGGTCCTCATAGGAACTGCTTTAATCCAGCAAATAAAAGAATTATTGCATTACAGTGGAGCTTCTGTGATGAAATACTGCCTCATCTCCTGGAATTAACTTTTAGTGTGATTAATTCTTCCAAACTGTCTCTGCTGTGCTAAGCAGACATGAAAGCTTTATGTTGTGGAATAGAATCATACAATATCCTGAGTTGGAAGGACCCACAAGGATCCTCGAGTCCAACTCCTGGCCCTGCACAGGACAACTCCAGGAATCCCACCATGAGAGCCTTGTTCAAACACTTCTTGAACTCTGGCAGGCCTGAGGCTGTGACCCAGTCAGCACTACAGCTGGGTGTAAAATGTGAACAATTTGTGTTGAGAAATGTGTTTTGGCATGGCTCAGGAGTAGGCACTGGATTATTTACATAGACCCCAGGACTGCTTTAAATCAAATACTCCAATGCTGTTTTCACTGTGTCACAGTCACTTTAGGAGCTAAATCTGCCCTTACTGGTAAGTAGTCCTGAGGTGATCTGAGCACATTGAAGAGGGATTCAAGGGGCTTTGAAAATGTAGGCAACAACATCTCAAGGATGCCTATATTTCTGAGAGATAATAGCAAAAATTAATCTTCCTTCTCCCCTTCCTCTTCAGAAAGTGGTTCCTGGAGAAACTCAAGCCAGAAGGTACTGCCCTGGTGTTACTGCTCTGCCTGTAACTCGCTCTTTTCCCCCTGAAGTGGATCCCTGTCCATGCTGGGCCTGCCCAGCCTGCCTGCCCACCACACTGCCCATTTCACAGCTGATTCCTTTCCTGCCTGTCCAGCTCTGTCTCTTCACATTCTCTCCTCGAGCCTGTTCTGTGCCCTCCTTCCTGGGATGTTGTTTTCCCTGGCAGCTTTATCCCTGGATTCCCAGACTCCTGCCTCTGCAGGCTGGCAGCAGGGCTTGTGGGAACTTCTTATTTGTCATCAGTGTGACCTGGCAGACCTGCTGCTCCCCGTGGCTTCAGTGCAAACCTCACTCCACTAATGCTCCCCTCCCCTCCTCTGGTGTGCAGTGACTGCCTTGACCCCACAGTTCAGAGTGTTAATCCCATTAACATGAGCATTAATCACTCTAATTCAGAGTGGGCTTATTCCTCTCTGGTGCTGCATTTTGGCTTCCTCTCCCAAAATCGTAGCAGGGCCCTGCAGCTCCCACTGTGAGGTCTGAGGCTCTGGCTTCAGTCGTAGGAGGGATCCCGCCAAGAGCATCCCTGTGCCTGAGCTCTGTCACCTCTTGCAGTTCTTCCTCTCCTCGGTGTCTGGGAATGCGGTGGGGAATGTTCCCTCGGCCCGTCCCTAGGGGGTGTGCTGCGCTCCGAGCGAGCGGCAGTAACGCCGGGATCCTCCTCTCTGTCTCTCTCAGGCCTGTACAAGCTGCTGGCTGGGTTTGAGGACAAGTCTGCCTATGCCCTCTGCACCTTCGCCTTCAGCAGCGGGAACCCCGAGGAGCCCGTGAGGCTGTTCAAGGGCCAGACCCACGTAGGTGGTGTGCCTGGGGAAGGGAACATGCTGAGGGGGGAGGGCTGGGATGTGATATGTGCCAGCACTGGCTCTGCTGAGTAAAATTTTAGTGGCTCCTGGGTCACTGAATGCCCTCAGAGCTTCTCAGTGTTGGGAACAAGCTGAGGAAGAGAGAGGGTGGTGATGCTGCAGCCCTTTCCGCAGTGGTACTTGCTGAGCTCTGCTCCTCAGCCCCTCATCTCCCTCTGACAGGGCTGTGTCTGAGTGCAGTCGTTAGCTCCGTTATTTGGAGGGGTAAAGGCCCTGCCAGGGCAGGGCAGTGTCAGTTTGGGGCTGCTGATTCTGTCACAGCCCGGGGAGGTGCTGGGAAGGAGCACAGCACGGTGCAGAGCCTGTGGGGGCCGTGGCTGTGTGCAGCTCCTCACCTGTGTTTGAAATGTGGCTGCAGGGGAATTGCTGTGAAAACACGGCTTAAGGGGCCGTTTTTGCTTTCTTGTGGCAGGGGCTGATCGTGGAGCCCAGAGGCCCTCGGGATTTTGGCTGGGATCCCTGCTTTCAGCCTGATGGCTACAACCAAACGTGAGTGGTGCTTACCTACAGTTCTTTATGTAGGGCAAGCCGGGGTGAGGGTGTCAAGAGGAACTTGCTTGCAAGCAAGGGCATCAGGGAGAAAACGCCTCCTGGATCTGAAGGTGGTGCCTTACAGGGAACCCCTGGATCAGGATGGGGTTGCTGGCTCTCCCAGTGTGTCACTACAGATGCCTGCTGAGCCAGGCAGGGAGGCAGTGAGCAGAGGGGGAGCTCTTGGTGACTAGGGGGCACATCCTGAAGTGTCTCTGCTGCTGAGACTTGTGTTTTCTGTGCCCTGCAGATACGCTGAGCTGCCCAAGGCAGTGAAGAACTCCATCTCGCACCGATACAGAGCACTGAGCGAGCTCTCTGCCTTCTTTCTTGAAAGCAACCCGACAGAGCACGGCTCCGGTGCCAGCTAGCGCCCCGGGCTGGGGGCACCCCGTGTCCTCAGATCACAGAACCCTTAGGGCTGGAAGGGACCTCTGGAGATCATCCCGTCCAACCCTCCTGCATGTCCATGTTCCACACAGCCCCGGGAGAGCTCTGTTCTGCTGCGGGCTGCCATTAAAGCTGCTCCTTTAGAACCCACCCGTGCCTCTCTCCGCCCCGTTCCTGTCGCCGTGGCGGAGCCCGGCGGGTCCGGCCTCTTGGAGCCGCACGTTTGTGCCTGTCGCCCTTTCTGCCGGGGGATTTTGAGCAGTGCCGCGATCGGGGGGATCCCGTTCGCCCCGGGGAGCCGGGATTGGGATCGGGATCGGGAACGGGGCCGGGCGGGGCCGCCGCGCGCTCCCGCTGGCCAATGGGAAGCGGCCGGGGAGAGGCAGCCAATGGGGGGCCAGTCCGCCGGCCTCGCGCGCGGCGCGGACCCGGAAGCGGTCAGCGCGGGGCCACGTGGGGCGGAGCGGGTCCCGCCATGGAGCTGCCTGCCCCGCAGCCCCGCCGAGTTCGGGGCCGCGCCCTACTGGGACCGCTTCTTCCGACACCGCGGGCAGCGAGCCTTCGAGTGGTACGGGGCCTTCCCGGAGCTCTGCCCCGTCCTGCACAAGTACGTGCGGCCCCGCGACAAGGTGAGAGCCCCCGTGCGTGCCCGGCGCCTCGTGCCCGGGCCCAGTCTCCCCGGGGCTCCTTCTGGGATGGTTTAGCATGGAGAAGAGGACGTGCAAGGGTGATCTTATCGCTCTACGGCTCCCTGAAAGGACGTTGTAGTCGGGTGGGGTTGTTGGGCTCTTCTCCCAAGCAGGACGAGAGGACACAGTCTCAAGCTGCACCAGGGGAGGTTTAGGTTGAACGTTAGGAAGAATTTCTTCACACAAAGGGTGCTTAGACATCGGAATGGACTGCTCAGAGAGGTGGTGGAGTCCTCAGGAGGTGTTTAAGGAAAGACGGGATGTGGCACTTGGTGCCATGGTTTAGTTAATATGGTGATTTTGGGTCACAGGTTGGACTCAGGACACAGGTGTGATTCAGTGTGTCAGTTCTGTGCCACTGTGTGTTGACGCAGATGATGTGAAGCCCCCAGTGTGCCACATCAAGAGGAGAGACCCCTGGGTTGCTCTGGCCTGGGGAGCTCTGGTGGGTAAAACACCCAGATCGTTCCCAAAGGACATGCAGCAGATCCATTGCTTCTGTGCCCATGTGACTTTTCTCTATGGAAATGTTGTCTTAGGGCCCACAGAGTGGTTTTGCAGGTGCTGTGGGTGGGGTTTTCACACAGGGCTCGTAGCCGTGGCTGATATTTGCCCATCAGGTGCTTTGGGGGTGCGTTCCCAGGGGTTTCTCACCATCCCACTGCTCCTGTGCCTTGCCCCAGGTGCTCGTGGTGGGCTGTGGGAACTCGGAGCTGAGCGAGCAGATGTACGATGTGGGAATGTGCGAGGACATCGTGAACATCGACATCAGTGACGCCGTGATCTGCCAGATGCGGGAGCGGAGCGGGAGCAGGAGGCCAAAGATGAGCTACCTGCTCATGGACGTGCTTCAGATGGACTTCCCTGACGCCCACTTCCAGGTGGTCCTGGACAAAGGCACGCTGGATGCCCTCCTTACTGATGAAGAGGAGGCCACTCTGGCCAAGGTTGACCAGATGTTTGCTGAGATCAGCCGGGTCCTGCAGGTGGGAGGGCGCTACCTCTGCGTGTCCTTGGCCCAAGCCCACGTGCTGACGAAAGCGGTGCAATACTTCTCCCAGGAGGGCTGGGTCGTGCGCGTCCATCAGGTGGCCGGCAGCGGGGACAACCAGCAGTTCGTCCTGCCGGTCTTTGTCTATGTCATGACAAAGTTCAGGAAGATCCCTGGCTCAGCACCACAGATCCTGGAGATCTGCCCCGAGGAGCAGGACAAGCCGATGCGGGTGGAGAGCGTGGAGCGGCTGGTGGCAGCGGTGAGGGACAGGCAGCATTACGCCCTGCTCTGCAGCCAGCTGAGCAAAACCCCCTGCAGGGAACAGGTTTCCCTGGATCTGTGTGACAAGGAGAGCGGGAAGCCTCGCTACACACTGCATGTGGTTGACAGCCCCTCGGTGAAACTTTCCCGGGAAAATCGCTTTGCCATCTTCATCAGTGAGTACAGCCTGTCCTGCCTGCAGTGAGATGGTGCTCCAGCCAGGAGCTGCAAATGGCCAGCCCTTCAGGCCCTGTTGAGTTTGGGGCTGGAGAGGGAAATAACCCACCTGTGGGGGGTCTGGTTGTTTGTTTAGTCCTGGTTTCGTGGTGGGATGTGTTTGCCTGGTGGTGCAAGCAGAGAACTGGCACAGAGCTTGCTGGCTGCATCTCACAGCAGAGGGACACTGCCTGTCCCACCTCCAAGGGGGTGATTCCTGCCTTGATGCTGGTGACAGCCACCACAGCACATTGCTGCATGAGGCCAGGGTGCAGCGATGCAGCCGGGAAGGCGTCTCTGGTCTGTGTGGGTGTCCTGACTTGCAAGGCTGGGCTGCTGGAGCTGCACTTGGGCTTCTGTGCTTGCACCTCACAGAGACGTGCCAGGCTGTGCCAGCAGCACTGTTCCCTCCCTGCACACCTGCAAAGCTGGGGCTTAGCACAGCCTGGAGACAGGTCTTGAGGCTGTTGGCCATCCCTTCGAACGAGGCATGGCTATTCCAGCCTCCTGCATGAGCCTGCTCAAAGCAGGAGAGCTCCTGGCTCTCTTGACGGTTGCAGTGCACGGCTCTAGTCACACAGTGGTACCTCCTTACGATGTCTCGCCATTCCCCGCGGCTCCTGACCCTTGGAGGTTGGGGTGGTTGCCTCTGGGACCAGGAGCAGCTTGGGCTGATGGCATCCCCTTCTGCAGTTCCACAGGGCAGAGAAACCGAGTGGCTCTTTGGCACGGAGGAGGGGCGGAGGCAGCTGGCCACCAGTGCGGGCTTTGGGCGCCTGGTCACCGTGGCTCTTCACAGGGAGCAGCACTACGAGGGCATGGCTGGCATCCAGGCCGAGCTGTCAGGGAAGGTGATGGAGCTGGCCCCGCCGGGCCTCCCTGCCCGGCAGCAGGTGAGCCCCCACTGCCCAACCCCCTGGATTGGCTTCCCTGAAACCAGGGCCAGGCTGGTTCTTTTCCAGCAATGAATCCCTCTTCTCCAAGGAAGACCAAGCTGCCGGGTGTGAGCTGGCTGCCTTGGTGGGCAGAGACTGGCTTCAGGTGTAGCTCTTCCCAGTTTTCCTTCCAGCTGTCTACCTTTGCTTGGAGGCAGGATTCAGTGTGAAATCCTTCTCAAAAAGCTAGCACTGGGAGAAGGCCATCCCGAAACCCTGAGAGCAGCCTCTTCTTAATCCTGGCTTTAACTTCTGTTCATCCTGTCTCCCCAACTCCCCAGACCTGAGCTCTTGCAAGAAGTCATGAGGTGTTTGTTCCCTGTACCCCCAACAAACGTATGGGAGTGAAGCCAGTGCAGGTCCTCAGCTCTCCTGTGGCTGCTCCTGCCTTGTGTCCGCTTCATCCTGGTGCCGTAGTCAGGACAGTGGGAATGCCAGGCTCTGGTTTTGTAGTCTTTCCTTGCTCACAGCAGCCCCTGTCATTCCTGCAGGTGCCCTTCCTGTCCGTGGGAGGGGACATCGGGGTGCGGGCGGTGCGGCATTGCGACACCAGCCCCCTGAGCGGGGAGTACGTGGTGGAGGACGTGAAGGGAGACGGCACCTGCTACTTCCGCCGCCTCATCTTCCTCCGCAACAGGAACGTGGTGCAGTCGGAGGCCCGGCTCCTGGCTCCCACTCCTCTCTCAGGTACCTGGGGCGGCCAGGAAGGGGCAGCGGCCAAGGCTGATTTTTTTGGGGTGACAGAGACTGAGATTGAGGAGAAAGGTAAAAGTCCTGCTGGGACCTGCCTGCCTTGTCCCTGAGCAACTCTGGGAGTGTTTTCTCACTGTGGGTGGGGCAGGGCTGGGGGTGGCTATTCCTCAGAACCCACCCCCTGCCTCCCACCTTGCCTGACCAGCTGATGTCTCCTGTCATTCAGGCCAGAAGAAACGGAGGAAAGACAAGAAGAAACCCAGCCCCGCTGAGCCACCTGCAGCCATTGACAAGAGCTACCTGTGCTGTGAGCACCACAAGGCCATGGTCGCAGGGCTCTGCCTGCTGGGGGGCCCCAACCCCCTCCCAGGTGACAGGGCCGGCAGTGAGAGGCTGTGCTGGGGGCAGGTGCGCCTGTGTCCTCACGCCCCAGCGCCTTAGCAATGGCTTTTCTGGCCCCATGCACCCTGCCCGAAGCGGTGTGTGGAGGGTGGGTGGGATGAGCAGTGGGAGCAGGGCATGCTGGTGGCTCACTGATTGTTCTTCATTGGCAGGAGCCTCGCTGGCAGTGCTGGTGGTGGGGCTTGGCGGTGGCAGCCTGCCCCTCTTCATCCACGACTACTTCTCACAGGCCCATGTGGCCGTGGTGGAGATTGACCCCTCCATGCTGGAGGTGGCCACGCGCTGGTTCGGCTTCTCCCAGGGCGACCGGATGCAAGTGCACATCTCCGATGGCCTGGACTACGTGGCCAAGCTGGCGGCTGAAGGTACCTTCCTGGGGAGCATTCTGGGTACCCCGACAAGTCCAGTGGGTGACACGCTGGGGATTGAGGTCCTGGGCTGTTTTCACCCCCCTCTTCCCATCCCTGCCCATCTCCTGCCATGTGTCACAGTCTCCAGCCTCACCAGGTCTCTGCAGCTCACAACCTGTCCTTGCCAAGTGTGCAGGGGACCTTAGATTTGCTGCCTCCCTCAGCACCAAGGGCTGCTGCTGTGGGTTTCATTTGGAAAGAGAAACCCTAGGAGAGAGAAGGGACCCCATAATGTGGCAGAGGGGATGTCTGGACCATCCCATTTGTTGCCTCCCTATCGTGTGTGGTTCACCTCTGTCCCCTGGGATAACAGCTCTCTGTGCTTCCTCCTGCAGCCCCAGCCCAGTATGATGCCATCATGTTCGATGTGGACAGCAAAGACCTCACGGTGGGGATGAGCTGCCCACCCCCAGCCTTTGTGGAAAAGCCCTTCCTGCAGAAAGTTAAAACCATCCTCAAGCCAGAAGGTAGGAGGGGAGATCTGGCTGTGTCCCCATGGCCAGGCTGGCTGGCTCTGTGTGGAGTTGGGGCTGTGCCACCGTTTCTCATCCTGGAGAACAGTGGCCACAGACAGCATTGCTGCATGGCATCTGCTTCTCCTGGTGGCTCCTGGCTCCGAGCGTTTCAGTGGGTGTTGTGCCAGCAGGGTGGAGCAGGTGACCTGCAGCACTGCTGGGTCAGGCAGGCTGAGACATCCCAGGGGGCCAGGAAGGGTTGTTGGAAGCAGAGGGTGTAGGCGGTACCTGAGAACAGATCGTGGCCACCCCCGACCCATGTGGCAGCAGGGACGTGGAGCTGGGCCAAGGGTACCGTGGGGATGCTGCTGCTCCTCGTGCTGCCACTGGGGAGATGTTTGCACCATGGTGGCACCGACTCAGCTGTGTTCCCACGGGGAGCAGGGTGGTGTACACAGGCTGAACTCTCACCCCTCTCCTCCTGCTGCAGGAATCTTTGTGCTCAACCTGGTGTGCCGTGATGCCCAGCTGAAGGAGTCTGTCCTGGCCACCCTCAGGGATGTCTTCCCGCTGCTCTACACACGTCGCATCGAAGGGGAGGTCAACGAGATCCTGTTTTGCCAGCCCAGTCCCCAGGGCCGGCGGGACCCTGCAGAGCTGGGGGCGCGTGCCCGGGCGCTGGAAGGGGCCCTGCGGGAGCCGGGGCGCCCCTGGGACAGCTCGTACGTGCTGGCAGACATGCTGCAGGCTGTCAGGATCCTCTGACAGGGGCTCCTCAGGACGGGCTGAGATGCTGCTCAAGAGAGTGCTCCCTGTGTGCGTGCCTTGGTCCCGTGGCTGGGACTGCCACCCTTGGGGACATGTGCTGGCCTGGGTCTGCCTGAGGGATGGAACCGGCCTGGGAAGGTGCTTCCTGCAGTGGCTCCCCAGGAAGGGGTCCAGGACTGAGGAGGGCTGTGCAGCCCAAGGGCCAGCGTTGAGCTGGTGAGGAGAGGAAGGTGCTGTGGGACTGACAGGACTGGGGGTTTGGGTCTGTCCCCCATTGTTTCCCCACTGTGGGAAAAACATCCCTCCGACCATCTCCTTCCCCTCCATCACAACACCTTCCCTCTGATGCTGCCTCTCTCTGCATCTCTGTGGAGCCCCAGCCCTGCCCCAAGCCTGCTTGTGTGTGTGTGTGGGTGGGCTGTGAGAATAAAGTGCTCAGGGCTCCTCTGAGGCCTGCAGTGCTTTACTAGGGCTAATTTCTGAAGCACCCACACCATGGAAAAGGTACAGTCACCTCTGCACCTCAAGGACATGTCCTGGGGACAGGCAGCTGCCCCTTAAGCACCATTGTTCCCTTTCCACTTGCCCTCTCCAAACTGGACCCCGCTATGTTTTCACTCTTCTGCATCTCTCCAGTTATCACCACTGAACTCAGACCTGTAACACCCTGAGCCCCCAAACTTTCCCTCCCCTGGGCCAGCAGGGACCAGCCCTGGGCTTGGGCCCCTGGCCACTCCAACCTGCTCACCGAGCTGGTGCGGGTCAGCCTTCCTGCAGGATGAAAAGGCAGCAGGAAAATACCCATTGGAGTGTTCTCACAGCACCCCATTCCAGCCCAGACACCTCATTTTGTCTCTCCCGAGGGTTTCAGAGCCTGGTTTCTCCCTGGGAAGTTTTAAGTTGAAGACCTGACCTGTGTGTCCTGGCTGGTTACAGAGCAGGAGACCCGCTGGTGTTCACACATTCATCAGAAGCTATTTTTGGGGGGCTTGTCTTTTTCCCCTGCAACAACTGGTACCAAAATAAGTCTGAGGCATGGTACCATGGACCAGCTTGCAGACAGCAAGTTGAAAACCTACTCAGGCACTGTGATGCTTTGCCACTGATCCTGCACCCTCACTCCATGCTCCCTTCTGCCACTGCCAGCCTGAGCCAGGACATCTTTCTGGCAGCAGCTTCCCAAAGCACACTCCACGACCTTTCCACAGCCCAGGGAGGTAACAACACGCCAGAAGTAGCTCAGGAAGGGATCTCACCTAGCCCTTAGCATGGAGGCAACAGCAGCTGTGTCTTGGAGCCATCTCCCACCTTTGCAGCCCATGCACCCTGTCCCACGGGGGTGCGGGGCGATGTCATGCCCCTCATCAGCCTCTCCTTCAGAAGGACCCAGCTCTCCTCCGTCTGGGAAATCCTCCTTCACTTAGAAAGCAAAGTGAGGGGGTGCATTAGCCTGAGTGTTTGCAGTTCACCAGCTCCACGGGGCCATGGAAGGACATCCCAAGGGCTCTCACCCCAGTGAGGACCCTGAACCAGTGGGGACCGTGGCCACTCCACTGATGCAGGAGATGGGGCTGTTAATGCCCAGGAGACCCCATGTCAGCTGTGCTGACAGTGAGCATGTCCCCCTGACAGGCCCCTCTGTGCCTGTATTTTAATTTTAATTTGCCAGCAGGTTCTACTTCAGGAACCACTCTTCAGATCCCTTCTCCCATGCCACCTGCTTTACTCCCCTTCACACAGAGGGACAAATCTCTGCCCTACTTCCTCCCTGGGCTGGCCTGCTTCTCTGCAGAGGGAGCAGATGCTTTTTTTACTAAGTGCTTTTGATGGTTCCCAGGCACAGGAGAGCAGGGCTGGCCTGCTCCCTGCCTCAGATAAAGGCTGCCACCATGGGTAGGTGCCCTCTGTTGCTCCCCAGTGTGTTCTCCTCCTCCTGTAGTGTGTTTGGGGCAGCTCACGGGCAATGGGAGAGACAAGGCTGGAGCTTGAGCTGGGTGCAAGTCTGCCTGCCCCCATGCGCTTAGTTTGAAAAGCTTCTCTGTGATGAGCACTGCTTTGAAAGATAAATATTATACACCCAGCTTAGCAATGGCAAATTTCTCAACTGGAGCAGCAGTGCTGCGTTTAGGCTATTTTTAACTTAGTGTGCAATTCTCAACATAATTCCAACGACATAGGTTTGTGTGTGTGCCCTTTATTTCACCAAAACCATCTCCTTTCTTCCCCAGGAGCTCATACAAAGGCTGCCTTCATCCCTCCCTTGTCCAGTCCTGCCTTTCTGTTGTGCTTCCCAAATGCTGCGTAACGCCACATCCTGGTGGAAAAACAAAAGCCATCTATTAGAAACAATGTAAGGATGAAATCTCAGCTCGTTGCAGCTGTCCTTGCAGCTACAACTTTGGTCTGGAAATAAATTTCAGCTGGAAAACTGGCAAATTCATGAGTGCTGCAAATACACGAAATCCTCCTCTGCAGGTAAAACCCTCCAAGGCTGGAAAATTGACACGTAGTAAATATTTCTCTGCTGGCAGCCAAAACGTGCAGCAAACATATATGTTTGGCAACTGTGTGTTCTGTTGAGTGTTTTGGCAACATACTCATGTTTGCATCCCTTACTCCTCACTCGCTTCCTTTGCAGCGTAGGCACGCTGTAAGTGGCGGGATAGAAACAAGCTCTGCTGTCACTTAGCAACCTCCACTGGCGCCGAGATGTTGATTTCTTCCTTTCTGGACTTCCCAGCACAAAAAAAGAGACCTGTGCATAACTCCTCCCATGGCTCAGGTTGAGGCTGTAGCCAGCTGGGGATGGTTTGGTGTGGTCCGGTCCCAATCCTTGCCAAAGCATCGCATCCCTGTCCTGCTGCCACTCCAGTGAATGAGACACAGGGAGCTGATGGGCCAGCCCTGGGATTCCTGATGTCAGGTGGAGGGATGCAGCCGGCCATGCCCAGCCATGGAGGCTCTTTGGCCCCGGGGTGACGGTGTGGGCAGGCAGCTGGCAGGGCAGTGACACTAAGGCAGGCAGAGTGGGGTGCCACACAGACAGCCCGGGTGGTGTAACCTCCTCAGGTGTCACAACACAGGTCCCTGCTCTGCAGAAGGACTGGCAGTGGCTGGGCTCTAGGGAACAGGGTGGAGGTGGATAGGGGACATAGTGTCACCAGCTGAAAGTACATCAAGCAGCTGGGAGAGATTTTGCAGTAATGAAAGCTTCAGGGACAAAGTGCTGAGGCTGATTCCCTTCACCTGGGAAGAGCCTGGCTGCCTGGTGATGCAGTTGCTGTCCAGGCATGGCAGGGTCACTGCACAGCAAGGGCTGCAACAGCCACCTCCTGGAGGATGGAAGCATATGGGAAGTGTTTTGGACATGAAATCTTCCCTTGGGGAAGCACTTGGCTTGCCTGGCTTTGTGACCAAGGGAGCAGAGATGCTGCCAGGCTGCAGTGAGGGAGTACAGCTCTTTCCTGGGGTGCTCAGAACAGCCGGGAAACATCTCTGCAGGCTGCAATGCAGCACAGTGCCCTTTTTCTACCCTGGAACTGCACGCACCCCACTAAAGAATGCAGCTGGAGGTCACAGGGCAGGAGAGAGAAGAGATGGGACAGAGATTGGGTTGTCACTGTCCCACGATCAGTGAGTCAGCAGTGCCCCAGGCTGTGGGGGGAAGGCAGAAAGCACATCCTCTTTACAGGGAGAAATGCTGCAGCCACTGCTTCTAATCACAGCTCTGAGGCCGCTCTGACTTTTTCACTGGCTTGAATTCTCTCTTTTGCAGCTTCAAGGTCTGCGCTCTGCTCCTGGCAGATTACACAGGCACAGTGCTGGCTGGCACCGTCGTGCAGCTCCGCTGCAGAGCCAGGGGCTGCTGAGAACCTGGGAGCTCCCCCTGCACGGGCTCCTTGCCCACACCTCCCCCTGCTCTGTGCTGATCAGCTGCCTGAAAAGCTCTGCAAGACTCTGGGTTTGAAGCAAGAAGGAGGTGAGGAAGGTCCCTGGGGAGAAGAGCAAGTGTGAAGGAGCCCGCCTCTTCTGAATTCTTCCTGGGGAGAGGATGCGGCCTCCTCTGTGCTCTGCTCCCCACAGAGTCCTGCCTGCTCTCCTGGCAGGGGATCCTGCCTGGCTCTTCACTGCAGGAATCTGCAAGTGTCTGCTCTGATATTTTATATATAACCCATTTTTCATGAAGGGAATTGCACTGGTGTGTGTTTATAAAGCAGCCTGGGGACCTGATCCAAATGTCCTCAGCTTTAACGTCACGCTGCCTGGTTAGGGAGAAGTGTCTGTGGGTAAGTTTGTGGCCTTGAATGCTACAGCTCTAGCCTGAATAGCCTGAAGCCAGGCTATTTTTGCCATATATTTTTCTGAAAGTCATGGCAGGACAAACTTGCTGTCTGTAGGCTTGATCTGAAATGCACTGGAGGCCTTCAACAGGGCTAGGAGCCCCTGGCCAGGCTGTGCTGGAGCTGGTGACATCTGACATCAGACCACGCTGATGGAGCTGGCACATCACCCTGGGGAGCAGGGCACCCTTACTCCTGGGCTAGGAGAGGTGGTCAGAAAAGGTTTCCTCTGCTTGCTGAGCCTGGCACGTGGCAAAATGAAATGATGCATATTGTGGGGCACAACTGAGCACAAGGTAAAAGGTTGTGTTTAGCTGGTTAACTGGTGACCAGCTCTGTGCTCCCGAGGGTCACACTTGGTGCTTCCCCAGAAAACAGTTTCTTGCATGGCCTCCTGACACTGCTTTGGGTCTTATATTTCATGGTTATTCATTACATGAAGCTTTGCAGTGGTCTCTGATAGTAATACCCCTGTGTCCTTTAATTTAGCCACTGTGAATCTTGGTAAGTTCAGAAAGCCAGGCTGGGCTCCACACGGGGGTTGGGAACAAACCGTCCAGAGAAGTCAGTCAGGAAAAGCAGAGACCTGAAGGGCGCTCGGGTGCCCTTCCTCTCTCCTTCACCGCTCTCTTGGAATTGTTGGGAAAATGAGCACCCTCATGATAATAGGGACATGTATAATGAAAATGTTGGTGCTTTTCCCAGAAGGTGGGAAATCTGTCCTTGGCTGCTTGTGGTTTTTTTTCTGTGGGCAGAGCGGATTTTTGTAAGTGATGGAGTTGCGGGGTGAGTGTGGTGATTTGACAGCTTTAACTCTGCTTCACCAGACAAAAAAAATTTGGTTTGGGAACTTCCCAGACGTGGGGAATAACTCAGACTTTCCCTAATCTAAGGTGTTTTCTTAATTTATTTTAATTTAATCATGGAAGCAAACAAAGATGTAATCTAAAGACTGGAAAGGAAAGGACAGTTCCCAGGTTATCAGTTTGAAGGTGTGCATAGTGCTGCTCCCCAGACATCGTGCCTTTTCCAATCTTCATTTGTCTCCTGTGGAGATGCAATCCTATTGCCAGGCTGCTCTTCTACGGATCTTAATTATTTCATGGGGGCAGCACAAAGTGCTCTGATGCTCAGACAAGGTGGATTTGGCCAGAACATGATCCTGTTCTTCCCAACTTCCAGCCTCCGTAGAAACCCGTGAACTGGAGGAAGGCCAGGCAGCTACTCTAGTGCCTCCTGGCATAGCCTGCTTTCTCAGGAGTGGGGAAAGAAATAATCATGCTGCTAATTGGCATAATTATGTCAATAACTCCCAGGCCCCATGTAGACAGAAATGATGGTGAGGCTTTTCCCAGACGCTGTGATCCAACTGCAGTAGCAAAGCGCCTGCGAGAGAAGCCATCCCTGCATTGTGCCGATTAAAAACTGTTCATTTGTTTCCAGAGTTTAAAGTTGGTCTGTTGTAGGGAGTCACTTTTTACACTTATTGGGAGCTCTGGCCAAGAAGTTTTGATGATCCTCCAGATCATTAGTCTCCGTCAGCCTGCAGGATGTTCACAGTTCCCTTTTGTTTTGCTTTTCACGCTGAGTGAGGCCAGTGTCTGGTTTAATACAGAGGATAACTTTTATCGCTGCAGGACTCCAAAGCCTGCATTTCAGATATTTTCATGTTGTGACTGCTGCCAGTAATCACAGATAAACCTCATCTCTGTTGTTTGCCTGAGCTCTAAGCTCAGCCTCAGTGTGTGTTTTTAACTGAACCCACTGCAACGACCCGACTTGGATCTTGTTGTTGCTTCCCAGCCTGTTCCTGAGCGATCCCCCTGCTGCCAGCCCTGCCAGCCCCAGCTCCTTGGGCCTGCCCTGCCATGGCTCAGGTGAATGTGTCTGACCTGCCAGCTCTCCACCCACGGCTGAGTGTCCATGAGGTTTGCCAGGGACACTCACGTGCTGCAGGGATGGATCGTGGTTCCTGCTGCTCCTGTTCCCATCACAGGCAGCAGCCGGGAGGAATTCAGCCACTGGGACTGCTCCAAAATTCCCCGCTCCGCAGATTGGGAAGTGCTGAAGCCAGCTGTCTGCCAGGTCCCACGGTGGCGAGTGGAACCTGGCTCCTCCATGGGCTCCCAGTTTGGCCCCCTTCCCAGTCCGGTGACAAAAGTCATCGAGGAAGAGGGCATGGAAACCTCTCCTGGGTGCTGGAGGGTGCCACAGTCCTGTGTTCGGGGGCTCTCAGGGGACACTGCAGCCGTTTCCACCAGCAGGAGTGGGTGACCAGCCGGGTTCAGGGCTCTCAGGGCAACCCGATGGTCTCATGGTCAATGTGCTGACCTGGGCAAAGTGTGCTTCTTGTGCCTGAGGGTCCCAGCACCAAAGCTGGCTTGTCCTTGGGCAGGGATAGAATCACAGAATGGGTCAGGTTGGAAGGGACCACAGCGGGTCATCTGGTCCAACCTCCTTGCATAAGAAGGGTCATCCCAGAGCACATGGCACAGACTGCGTCCGGATGGTTCTGGAATATGTCCAGTGAGGGAGACTCCACACCCTCTAGGCATTTGTTCCAGTGTGTGGTCACCCACACAGTAAAGACTTTCTTCCTCATATTCAGATGGAGCTTCCTGTGCATCGTTTTCTGCCTGTTGCCTCTCATGCTAGTGGTTGGCACCACAGAGCAGAGCCTGGCTCCATCTCCTTGTTACCCCCCCTTTAGATACTTAAAAATATCTAAAGCTGGGTGTACTTAAAGTGCTGGTATCTAAAGCTGGGATGAGCCCACCCAGCCACCTGAGTTGTCAGTGGGGGCTCCAGAATGCCAGGAGGACCCCATGGATGCTCCCTGGGAGCGGCTGCCCTGGGCCAGTGACCAGTGGGAGGCTCTGCTGGTGTCCCCACAGTAAGAGCAGAGAGGACCCCACCACCACCTCGGGCTCCCATGGCTCAACCCTTCTTGGTGGTGTTGCAAAATGTGGAATACATAATAATTCTCTTAAGAAAAGATGTTCTTTGATGTTTAATCTCCGTATACTTTCAAGCCTAATCAGCAAAAAAGGAGCTTTAATCTGTGAAACAAATAGCAAGCGCTAAGTGATGTTCTGATGTTAGAAAGATAAATTACTTGTCAGTAGAATTGCCTTGTTAAGGTTTAGGGCTCAACATATTTTAGTGATCTCAGACCTAGGGGGAGGTTACCAAAGCTTGGGAAGAAGGATGTACCGCTGATAGTGGACACAAAGAATTTAGAATTTATGGGTTACAAGGACATTTGGCAGAACCCCGAAGATGAGGAAGAAACTAATAAAGACAACTCAGCAACTGTGCTGAAATCATCTCTGACTGGGTAACAGGTAATTCTGGCAGGGGC